TGAAATCAACAACAACATCAGCAACACCTGTAGAAAATACTGCAGTCTCATATCCCACGTACAGATAGTTATTCCGTGTTAGGGAGTTGTTTATTCAACTTTTTTTGGCCACTCTGGCGGTTGACGTTTGTGTTTTTGTGTTACTGGATTTCATTATACTGTACAGATGTTGCTGTTATCATATCCATCCTGTGTGAAATCTAGAAGTCACTCAGGTCCCAGCAGACCATCTCAACCCCCTCTCCTTGAGTTTGAGACTCTTACAAGGGATTTGCTTTGCAGAGTAGGTCCCAGCCAACTGGCAAACACATCCCAAAAGTGTACTGTATCTAAGTACACACACACACACACACACACAAGTGATTATTTAAGTGAACTGAGGGGAGGGGTTGTTTTTAGAGTCTGACAGATAGAAAATAAGGGAGCTAGGAAATGTCCCTTACATTGTTCAGTGCAGACTGGCGCGCGGGAGGCTGAGGAGGACTGAATTAATGAAGAACTCCGGCACGCAATCAACTGTTTGCCACGCTCAAAAACCATCAAATACTGTTTGACCTGACACAGATACGCGTCGGGTCAAAACAACCAGTGCCGTTTTGACACCTTTTTTCTGGTGCTTCTTCGCGCATGGCTGCAAACGCTGCGCTGCGCAGCGCGCACGGATGATAAGCAACACTCCGATGCTGGGATGTGCTCAAATGAGAGTGTGCGGCTCAGGGGGTGGGGAGGTGTGGGGGGTGGGGGGGTGCACCACCATCAGATTCAATCAGAAAATTCAGAGATGACGTTGTTTTAGCGCCGTTATCTGCGTTTGAGAGAGGCTGCGGGCGTCGGTTTGGAAGCGCACCGCCGGCGGACAGAAAAACACACACAGCGCACATTCGTGCAAGAAGGGAAACCCTGGATGTCTCGGTCCCGTCTCGTAACTCCGGTAGCCAATCCAGAAGTGTCGATTTGGTGGTGGTGGTGGTGGTGGAGGAGGGGGGTTGGGGTTGGGGTGGCCGAGAAAAGGGGAGGGGAGGGGAGGGGGACACTCGAGCCTGCGGCTTGTGCTGCGAGCCTTGAGCGCCTCCACACACACAAACCCACCTCTCTCTAGCTCTGTGTGCCTGACGTGACGTGCTCCCTCACAAAGTTTTGACCATTACATCATAGCTTTAAAATAGCCAATTTCGGCCCACAGAAATGACACTTTACGCACGGTGACATCAGCTGCCGGTCAAAAGATGCGGTAGCCTGCACTGGCTGCTCCCGCTCCTTACGTTGATATATTGATATTATGATCCCGACTCACTAAGCATTATTCTCAAGTGGGGCAATAAATAAAAGATACACACGCATTTCTTTTAAAAAAAACACATTTTGGCGAGGTTATGGCTCATTAAAGATAAAGTCATCTCATTGTGAGGTGGTAAACTTAAACATCATCACAATCTCATGTGAATCTATAGTTGCACTACCTAAAATATCCGCTGTAGCTACTTTTCAGAGCATTACATCATTGTCTAGTCAGATCGATGAACTCATTTTCAACTCGCTGAAACTGCATGTTGCTTTGTTTGAAAGACTGCATATGACAGTGGGGGAAAATGACTTAACCTAATCTTTCCAGTTTGGAGTGAAACTAATTTTTTTTTTTTTTTAAAGAGTTTGGATGAAGGATGTAGACAATCCTACCTGCAATCACTGTGGGCGATCGCTGACCTCCCTCCGGTTTGATCCACATCTCCAGTGTGAAATTGCCTCTGGGAATCTCCACGCCGGGCTTGAGTCGCAGCTGGTCCCCCATGCCGGTGAAATAGACGGCTTTCCCCCGGTCTGGAGAGTTTTCCTCCGCGTGAGAGGAGCGCCGGCGCTGGCGGAGCACGCGTCGCTCCACGCCGGGCAGCGAGCGTTTGCCCCGGGGCAGCCGTGTGGCACAAGCCCCTGGGATGGTGGCTCTCGCCTCCGTAATGCGCACCAACTCCCTCTTGGATCTCCCCTTTCTCCGGACTGTCCCGCACTCTGATCCAAAACACAAGATGAGAATCACCAGGCAAGACACCCAGGGTGATGTCCAAAGTTTCATTTTTCAGGAGAGGAAATGTCAAAAAATGTATCAAATGAGAAGGGGAAGAAAAAAAAAAAAGAAACAACTGAATAACTAATTTTGAAAAAATATGTCCACAATGTTCTTCTGTTTTTGGATCCTCTCGAGTTTTTCCCCTCTTTCTTATTACAGCGGTAGAATGTCAAAGCGTATAAACTGTCTAAATAAACCCATAAAGCTATGCTGTTTTTCCCTCTTTATAATGCTAAGCCACGACCCCCTCTCTTAAGCAAAACTACTCTGGAGACATTCACAGGAATATTTCATTCATGTATGTGTTCCACGGTGCCTTTTCAATGGGTCCCATTTAGCCAAAGGGATGACTAATAAGTAATCAATCAAGAGGGGGGTCCGGCCGATGCCCCCCTCATCCCCTCTAGACGGTAGGAGTTACTCGCAGAAATCCACAGTTGTCCGCCAAGCTCCTGTCACACCTTTTTGTTGTTTCCTTATCCTACCCATAAAACAGCATAAGAAATGGCACACAGCCTATTAAATTCCACAGAAAAGTGACAGCAAAGCGACCTCTCATATTTATTCAAAGAGAAACAAGAGGCAAATTGTGGTCAAAAGCGTAATCCAAAACTTCCCCCCTCAGTCTGTGTGCCTGCACAAAAGTTGAAATGCACTATGATGTCTGGTAAGGCGCAGGAGAGGCAGAGGGGCAGAGAGCTGCAGAAGTAACCATCCCGGTCCTCTCTGGCTGCCCGGAGCAGATGGAGCCTGCTCTTGGAGGAGTCGGAGCTCTGCGTCCGCTTTGGAGGCTGCGACTCTCTCCAAACTCTTTTAAAGAACAAGTCATGTTTCAAACGTTCCGGAGCGCGTCTGTGTATGTGTCCGTGCGTGCGCGTGTCTACGTGTATGTGTATGTGTATGTGAGCCTGTTTTTTTTTTTTTTTTTATGGTGGGAAGTCACACAGGTATAGGCAACTCTCACTGACGGCAATCCTCTCTGTGGCACGGAGTGATAGGATGGTGTTTACGGAGTTTGGGGAAGGCGTGTATGTATCCCTCTAGCGGTTACACTTTAAACAATCCCACACTTGCACAAGTCCCACAGCACCAGGGTTATTACCAGGCACCGTGGACTGGAGTCGTTTCTTCGAGGATAACAAAAAAAAAAATCCCTTCTGAAAGTTGATCATGTTTGTAAATGTCTTCTGAAGCTCTCAAACCATATCATGCATGAGAGCCTGCTCACCATTCAATCTAAATAAATATTCCAATTGTTCTGAAACCTTGTTTTATTCTTTTCTTGTGTTCTCTTTTATTTCTGTCTCTTTTTAAAAAAAATCTGTTTATTTCTTGAGAAGTTCTCCATTTTAAAATGTGCTGCCCCAAATCTTTCTGGTCAAAGTTTCCCCTGATGGTGATTGAGACATGTAGAAGGAAAAATGCCAACAGAGAAATTCTCTCCTCATCCTAATCTCATTTGATCATGCACGTGTGTCTCTCCTGGTTTAAAGTTTAAAGTTTGTTGTTAAGGAAAAATGTTTTAGATAAATAGAGAAGAAAAAACTTAACTCTTGCATCTGTTTTCAAATTTGGCCAACTTCCTTCATTTCAATCTCTGCGTTTGGCTTCTCGTGCTCTGTTGTCGTCTGGATTGTTGTCAGAGATTCTGTGAAAGAGAACAACACAAAGGGTTTGTAAATTTCAGGTCGACCTCACTCGAGCAAACTGTTTACCGAGAGTCGCTTTTGATGGATGGGGATTTCAAAACCACAGACACGGCTAAGATTCAAAGGTCTCTTTGCTTGTCGTGGCCTACAAGCCCTCCCAAGTCCTGGCTGTTGATTTTAAAAAGAAAAGTTACACTTTCCCACACTTGTCATTGCTCGGAAAATATTTCGAGACACAGAAAAAGAGAATCTCTTTACCTCCAGCGGCATTCCCAAAGCTGGAATGCCAGCGTTTCCTCTCTCTTTTCTCCCCCTGTTGTTTGTTGTAATTGTGTGTTCAGACAGACAAAACTTGCCACCTACCATAAAGAGAAAAGGGAACAAACATCAAATATTTACTCTGTTCTTCATACGGTGTTGTGACTTTTGGACCACATATTTCCTTTTGTGTCCTTAGCAGGTGGGGGGGGGGGTGGCAGGGGGGGAGTTGGGGGCTGACACACTGGTACGCCACAGGTACACAACTTTGTGTCCACGCCATCACACACCGGATCTCTGTCGCACATCCTTCTATCTAACTGGGTTTCACAGCAACTTTTTCCCTCCACCTTTCATCCGAATCTCAATCTTTACTGACATAGGTTTCGTTTCATAAGCATCATTGCCTTAAAGTTCTGATTTTAAAAACCCGTCCAGTCTTTTAAGGGCTTTCTTTGCTCACCATCTAAATGAGAACAAGGGGTTGAAGACAGGGAAGATGCCCTTATGTCTTGCGGTCAGCATCTCTGTGGTCAGTACACTACGTACAGGCTGCTAGGATCTGAAGGGGGTGGGGACGGAACGGTGGTGGATTGAATGACCTTTATGTGTGAAACATGCTCACATAAAGGTCATTCTGTTATGCAAGGAGATTGAGTTGAGTTTTTTTAGTGTATTCTTTCACTTACCGCCCAACCCCTCAGGCAACGGACCAATCATCATGCTCAAAGTTCAAGCTGCCGGCCCCGGACTCGTCTATTCGCCAGTCGCAAAGCATCACAATATCTCATCCTTTCAAAAACAGCCTGGTTCCCAGTTATTAATGGATTTGATGATCCAGGCAGGCAACATCCCATCTTAACCCAATGACCTGTGGCGGTTGGTGTCCACACGGTGCCTGCAGCTCCACAAATCCCACCGCGCGTCTGAGTTTAGTCCACGAAAGCAGAAGCCGCCGTCAGGGAGAGACGTCTTCTCAGGATCAATTGGGGTCAACGAGGAATAAGACAGCTGGACAAACACACAACTCTGAGACTGTCCTTTCAAATGCCAGAAACCTGAAATGGTGACCGAGTCTGGTAATCAGAAGTAAACACAAAAGATTTAAAACCGTTGGAGTCTGCTGATCTGAACTCAGTAAGATCTAACGTGCACATCCAAACATCTACCTCAACCTTAAAAACAAAAGCGATCTGCTATGGATTAATCTATGTTTACTATATTAATGATAAACTGCATGTTTAGAGTGACATAAAGAGCTATTTCTGTAAGTGACACTGTTAGGGATTATCTGCATTCAAAATCTGAAATCATGCCAACTCTTCTGGCTTCCCCCTCCACCCCCCACTCACTCACTTTTGACCCAGGGAGATTATATCTGTGTGGTCTAAAACACTGAGTTGGGTCAAATATGAGCAAAGAGCTCGTTAATTTCGGACTCCAGCTATCAGTTCCATAGTTTTGTCTTCCATGTCTTTTCAAAAATCCTTTTCCTAAATTAAAAATGCATCAGCCGTCCTGTGATGATGCCACTATGGGAACTTTTAGAATTCCTCTGTTTGGAGGGAAGGGGCTCCAGGATGCTACAATAATCCCACTACGCCATCTGAGTGACTGGAGAGAAGTGCGAGTCAAATGGAAAAAATAATTAAATAGATTTCGTCCTATAATCCATTAATGCATCTATCTTTTAATCTGTGAGTGTGATGGTTCTAGAGGGCAAAACCTAAATTCTTTGCTTCATCTTTTTTTCCTGGACAAGCTTCTGGGTGAAATTAGACGCGTTTGAATGTTAACAATGGCCAGATAAAAGAAAAAGAAAGCCCAATTCAGAACAGGTTGACCTGTAGAGTAATGTGAAATGTGAGTAAATGAGAGATTTGAAAGGAGAAGCAGTGACTAGATACCCCTGTCCTGCCCTGGACTTTGTAAGGTGGTGGCCATTTCTGGATACATTACCGATTAAAGCACTTAAGTGTATAATCCCTAAAAATTGTTTGAATTTTCCAGGATTCCATCAAAACTGGCACACATGCAGTTTTCCGGTAAAAAAAAATCACTTCCCAGTAAGAGAAGTGCTGTCTGCAGAAGCGTTGTTTGCTGCTTTGGAGTGGGACACTGCAAAGATTACAGAAAATGTATATACTGGCATAAATCAGGCTTAATCTCCTAATGCTTATGACAGCTGTCATTCATATGCACTTAGTAAGGAAAGCCAGCCAGCACAGACGAGCAGGGGCACAGTATATATGGACACGGAAAATAGAAGCCGTTACTTTATTATAGTTTGATCAAAACAGAATCAGATTACTGGCAGAGTGGTACCTGAAAAAGATTAATGATTTGTATGATAAGTGTGATCAGTACATTGGAATTCATTGAAATGCAAATGTTTTTCATGCCAATGAACCAGCTTTTGAAGTTTCAAAAATTCAGAACAGAAAAAGGCATTATTTAAGATTACAGATTCAACTTAAACATAAGTCTTAATATCTTCTTAACTGTTTCCATATATGTCTATGCCACATTTCTCTTTACCCTAAGTGCAGCATCACTTCTGTGTCACAGGTTACATTTATACAGCTAAACTAAATATGGAAATGCTGTATTCAAACTCAGAAGTATAGGAGTGATACATTGTTGGCCTTGAATTTAAACAGTTTTTCTCTTAATATGCAATTTAAAACCTTTTAAAACAAAATAAACATTTCAGTGTAATCTAACAAGCTTGGACTTTCCAATATTTTGTCAGAGTGTTTATAAAATGTGGACTGAGGAAGATTGAAGTTAAATACTGAACTGTTTTTGATGATTAAATAAATAATACATTGAAAACTGCAGATAAACACACTACAGCAATAAAGCAGGGTGGAGGTTATATCATGATGTGGTGTGGAGCTACTTCAAGCTATGACTTCATAAAAGACGTGGTGAAATTAGAAGATATTTTCGAGTGAAAGCTGCTACCCTGCATAATAGAACCAGATCTGAGGTAAAAGATCTTGGACCTATGAGCAATACTCGACAGCACGCATCCAGCAACACAAAAGAATGGGAGTAAAGGAAGGGGGGCGGTTTTAAACTGGTCAACTGAGTCTT